TACCCTGAGGCTGTGCTTGATTGCATATTAGTATATTAAATATAACAACAAAGCATCAGCTGTGTGTTGTGCAGTAAGAGTTCTCTTATGCCCTAGGAGTATAAGAGGGGGTTCAAGTCCTGCATGTGAACTCAGCAACATTAACAAAGTTTGCTAAAAGAAACAAACAGGAAGTAGACAGTAGAAAAAACAATGCGTGATAGAATCTATTTAAGCCACAACTTGTTCCATTCTCACTGTCCTACAACGGTAACAAACGAGGGTGATTATTTTTATCTACATAGACAACAGAACCGCTACACAGAATGAAAGAGAAAGAGATGTGATTACACTACCTTATATAGAATACTTTTAAGCATGAATGTTCCTTATGTGCTGGACATCGTTTTCAGATGTACTCATTTAGACTGTCAAGGTAGGCACTAGCGATACTGACTTTTAGATTTGAAGCAGTGCTATGTACAAGTCTAGTATCTAAAGGAAAAAACACCATTATAAAAGTGGTTTGATAGGCTGTAAATTCACAAAACTGCCTTTGTTTTATTATTACAAGATCAGGCTTTATGATAGGTAGTAATATATGAGAAATAAAAATGATTTTGAACCCTTTCATTAAAAATTATCCTTCTCGTTTTTCACTTTGATCTCCATTTTTTTTTATTAGCCACAGCAAGTTTCCTTCAAAGCTTTGTTTTAGTACATTAGCACTATGATTAATGATAAAATCGATGCAGACACTAAAAATCGCTCATTACTCATTAACAGTATCAGCGACAACAACAATAAACTGCATTTTGGCTATTAGTAGAGGTGTTAGCTAAGTACACCGATCAATATGAAGTCAAGTCTTACTCAGTCAACATGGGTAAAGCAACATTTAGGTACTATGCTAAAAGGAAATTATATTAACTACATGTTATGCATGTAGTTGATATAAATTGGTTTGATAGTTATCAAAGTTAGCCACTTATGTCCACTGTGAGCGACCATCTTTGAACAGAGGCGGTGGTTTACGACACCAACTGTCTGCCATCTATAATCCAGTTTTGAGTTCCCTCCCCAGATGCCTTAACGCCCACTCACATCCTGGGCCATCTGACCTCAGGAATTCGCATGATAAGGTGGGGCCAGGTTTCACAAAGAACTCACCCGAAACCCTGGCTGATTGGGACCCACACCCAGTTTCACACCTTGGCTCAGGCGATTAGAGGATCATCAGGGGGTCCTTTTGTCCCTCTGTGGGGGGACACTCCCACTAGGTTTAAATCTGGGACTCCCCACCATTTGACCTTAGAACTGAAGAAGCTTCTTGGATGGGAGGTGAAACGTCTTCAAGCAACTTAAAGAAGTCCAGACGCTTTTCTTTGCAAGCTCCTCTCCACTTCTTTGTTTCCGCACGCCAGTGAGAGTGGTGGCGGTGTCGGCCAGGACCGGATCTAAGCTGCCAGACTCGCGATCCACTGCATCCAGCGCTTGGATTGGTCATAACATAACAAAAATAACCCCAAAAACAGTCCTTTTGAGCTCAATATTTCAGTTGTCCTTTTTTGGTCATTAGTCAGGTCAGGATTCCTTATTAGTCCAGTTCTTTTTTTTTCCTTAGTTTTGTGGTTTGTGTGTTACCACTTTGATGCCTCTCTTAAGGGAGAAGAATGAGTTCTTCAGCAACAGTTCAGTCTGGGCACAGGTTTGCCATCTCGATCCGGAGAGAATCCAGTGTAATCCATCCAGAATGCAGAATCTTAGTTGCTTTATCACACGAACAAAAAACCTAGCCAAAATGACCGAAAATTCCACATGGACCAGAATAATAACAAAAGCGGTTTTCTCTACTGGGTTACACTTTGCTTACTCCAGGCCAAACATTTTATTGGAGTATGCTAGAAGAATGTTGGTGGCCCTTCTTTTGGCCAAAGGTTAAACAATGTCACATTAAGATTAGTTCTTGAGAAACTGACCTATGTGATAAGGAAAAGACCTTCAGAATTTTTTGACATTTGGAAGATGTTTTTTGGAACTATTAAAAAATGGGGAAGTTGACGAAGTGGAGATAGAGTGAGGTAATGAAAACTATGTAACTAAATTTGGGAATGTACAGTGCAGTAACCTGTACTGTTTTTGTTTTTTTGTTTGTTTGTTTTTGAGTGTCTTGTGTTTTTATTGCTTTTTTCCTGCCATATGTGCCATAGGATGTATATACAAAATCCAATAAAAATGTTTTTGTTTTTTTTAAAGCTACACTTTAGCTGTTTGACATGGCTCATGGACCAAGTAGCCATCCATTTTACCTGAATCCTTCAATCTCTCCCTTCCTAATTATGTCACTCCCTCTATTCAGTGGCCAGGGTTCCTAAATATTTAATCTTCCTCTTCTCTTACTCACTTCTCCACAGCTGGTTAATTTGACACATTTGCTTCATCTATTATTAGTTTATTTTTAATTGTTTTCTCATAAATGAACAAATGGGATGCTGTCAGTGCTTGTACGGCTGGTGCACAGGGGCCCAAAAGTGTTGGTCCACCAGGAAAACACTGGGTATGCCAGATTACCAGTTCAACCCTGAATGTCAATAAACTACTTTCCCCCCTATGATAGGGGAAATTTAGAATCAGCTAACTGAGAGTAAAACAGAAATCCTTACTTGACTGCTTGCATTCATAGGATTATAAATACATTTTGTCATTTCAGTAAATGTAGAAAGCATGTGCAAGTAGGACCTGTGATATGCCCACAGTGGGGCATTACTAAATTAAATCAGACTATAAACTTACCGTGCCCTTAACCCTCCTGTTGTATGTACCCGCACCCCCCTTACTTTAGTGTTCCAGTCACAATCAACCAGTTAGTTTTAACAGCTCTTAAGTTAACATACGAAACATTTTTCACCACCAAATTCAGTTCAGTGGGTAGTTCAACGGGTCATTCAGTGGGTTGTTTAGCAGGTCGTAAAAGTGGGCCCATTCATTTCTTATGGCAGTCACGTTGAACCGGAAACACCACAGATGTAACAAAGTTGAGTAAAACACTCAAAATTCAACAAAAGAGGTGCTCATCACTTTTATATGTTCAAGTGCATAGTGTGGAGGATGTCATAGGGCTTTGAGGCAATCGGATGTAAAACACAATATTTATGAGTTGTGTTAATTTGTAAATCAGTGAGATTTGACCCTAAAATTGTTTCTTTACATACCTTTACAGTAATGTCATTAATTGTGAATCAAAAAATTGCAAAATCCTGAAAACATAACAAAGCTATGTGGCATGCAGTACCAGCTAGTGCACCAAAGTTTGGTAGAAGATGCTAACAGGAAGTTTCACATTAGACATGAAAACCAAAGACGTGTTTGTGTGCGTTTGTGTGCTTAAACCACAACTTGTTCCATTCACACTATCTCTGCTTTAGGTGTTAATTTTGATCTACGATGAAACAATACAACACAGATCTACTGATAGAATGTAAGAGAAAGAGATGTGGTTAAAGTACACTAAGTTTGACTGAATGATTAAAAAAATTAAAAAGCATATGCAGAGTTTACTTTTGAACATTAAAGCTCCTCATGTTACGGACAGACTAGAGACACAAACAAAATAACACCACAGTAAAATGAGGCAAAATGCTGTAAATTCATAAAAATGCCTTTCAGTAATACAAGATCATCCTGACATCTAGCACCATGTAGGACCCCCTGTTTAAAAATGTATAAAAACACTTTCATCTTCATCATCAAGGTTTACTAATATTATAGAAGATACATACATGTATATGTGTATATATGGGGAAGAAAAGCATGCATTTGTAGATACATCTGTAGAGACAATAGTAGAATACTGATACTGAAGATTTGTATCCCATTCTGCAACAACAAAACTTATAACAAAAAACAAATTTCTTAAAAGTTATTAATTTTCAGTTTACAAGTTAGATTCAACCAAATAAGTATTTGGGATAAAGTTTAAGAGGGTTTTTTTTAGTTCTTTTTACAAATTATTTAGATTATTTTATTAGAGCTAGTGAAAGAAAATATACTTTAGAGCCTACTAATAAACAAAGGGTGTAACACATAACACAATATCTAATATCTTAATCATTTATTAATGAAGGGGAACATTATGGAAAAAATTTAAATAAAATTTGGATAAAGTGTGGTATTACTTGTTAAAATGAATTTAAAAAAAAAAAAACAAATATGTTTGAAAAAAATAAGCACTCATTCTGTCACTATGCATTTTGAAATGGACCACACAGCTGTCCAAAACAAGATAAGAAATGCCACTGCACTGCTCCAGAGCTTACCATTTATTTGCTTGGAATAGTTCGGCACAGTCTGGACTGTCTGCTCAGATCGGCTACAGTGCTACTCTGCACAGCCAGCGACCAGCAGCTTGCCAGTTTTCCATGTATTAGAACCAGCTGAGCATGCTGTGGCAGAGCATAACCTGCCTGTCTGTCTACAACGGTGACAAACGGTGGAAGTGACAAAAGATTACACTGTTTGTTGCAAATGAATATTGTACATTGATAGTATTGATTAATACACGAGCACTGATCTTCTTGAAAACTCTAATGTCACAGTATAACAACACTTTCAGACCATGTCCACAGCAAACTTTGTGAGTAATTACCAATAACAAAACAAAATTTGAAAAAACCCACCCATACATCTTAACTACATAACCACTTCAAGGTCAGGGCTGGATCCTTTCCCAGCTAATTTTCCTGAGTTGGTTTTATTTCATTTGATATTTCCTATCGTGCGAACATTTGTGTTTGTTGCAAATGAATATTGTACATTGATGGTAATATCCTAATACATGTCCACAACAATAAACATTATTCATCCTTGTTACCCATTTTAGTTGTTTAAATTGCTAAATTTTAGAGTAATTACCAATAACAAAACAAAATTTAGAGAAAAAAAACCCATCCATACAACTACTTAACCACTTCAGGGTCAGAGCTGGATCCTTTCCCAGCTGATTTTCCTGAGTTGGTTTTATTTCATTTGTTATTTGCAATCACTCTAACATCTGTGTAGATAACATGAGTGCCAAAGTTACCTGCGGAGGAAAATAAACAAAAAGTGTATTGTGCTTTGGATGAAGCTATGTTGTTTAAAAAAACACATTTTTCAAAGCAAAGTTTTAAATACTTCACTTACCTTCATTAACAGTTGTCGGTCTTGCTTTCTTACAAAAATGTTCTATAACCAGAATCAGAACCACAAACAGCATGATGACATTGGTTACCAAAGGTACTGTCAAGGTTGTAACAGAACCTAGAATGCAAAAGCAAATGTCAAACAATATTGAATATCATGACAAATTCCAAAATACTAAAGTGCTTCCAAATAGTTCCATTTGCCATCCATTTCTTCAACATACAGTAACATCTGAAGTCACAGGAGATGTGTACTAACTTTTTCCCACAAGAATTCACAAGCAACAACCAAAACCATATGGTAAATGATTTATTTTACTGCATATAAATTCAAATCCAATTTCCCTTTGAAAGAAAATATGTAGTGTTGTCTCAGAAAATCTTACGTTTAAATACTCTACCACTGCAGGCTGCCAGGGGAATAACGGTTTCATCTCTGCTGACATTATTCCAAACTTGGCACATAAGGTTTCCAGTCAGCTTTCCATCTAAGATGATGGTAACATTTGGAAACTCGGCTGTCCAAATGGTTAGGGACTGGTTGTGGTCATTGCTTTGTATAAGTATCTGACCATCCAAACTCAAAATTAATTGTACTCCATCTCCCTCAGAGAAGCAGCTGATCTTCATCTGTTCTGGTGACAAACACGTCTGAGACAGTGTTGGCTTTGACACTGGAGCTGGAAGACATGTAATCATATCATGTAAGCAGTGTAAAAGACAAATAAGATATAGTATAAGTTAATTTTGCATTTTTTTAAGTCACAAAAAGGTTTCTAGGGAAATATCACCAAGTATTAAGAGAAATATACATTTAATTTGTCCCACATTTGAGGAAATATTTTTTAAACAGCAATTTGACTAATAATAATAATAATAATAATAATAATAATAATAATAATAATAATAATAATA